GTTTGGGGTTGCGGGCTTTAGGGGTTTAGGGGTTTCGGGGTTTAGGGTTTAGGGTTTAGGGTTAGGTGGGCCGGAAGTTTAGGATATACAGGTCTTCTATAAGGCTTCCACAAGGTATATCGACCTTCTATAAGGCTCCTACAATGGTAACTACCCACCTGAAAATGTCCTACACTAGGGTTTTTCGAATTTACCACTTTCAGCAAAAGGGCAGTCTTACTGTTACACCATATGATTGAGACTTAAAGACAGCGAGACCTCAAGAAAAGGAAGGGCACGACTGCCAAGACCAAGCACATACTGTATCTTAGCTAACTGTTCGAAGAGCAGTCGCAACGGTGACATGTTAAACCAAGATGTTGTGGTATGCAGGGCAGCCTCCAAATATAGCATAATTTTACAGTAGGGGCTCAACGAGTAGAGTAAGTCCTTAAGGTATGTTTAACCGAATTACAGATAACAACTTTACGGCAGTTTGTCAACCTCTATATCATTCTAGCTTATGGCGCATAACCACTCCACCCTAAAGCCTAAGCCCTAAATCATATTCGACATGCTCCCTGAATGCCCCAAGCCCTAAGCCCCTATACCTTAAACCCTACAGCGTGTTAAACCCCTACGGATCGGCTTAAAGCTTCATGCTTTCATGGTCTCAGCGTCTGGGCTTTTGGAATGTCGGATTCTTTGGCTTACGGTTTTGGGGTTCTCTGACGGTGCATCGTAAATATGTAGACATATGTATATATATATATATATATGTGTGTGTGTATACTATATATATATATGTATGTATGTATATATATATATATATAAAGTACACATGGACATATGTGTGTGCCTAGAGTTTAGAGCTTCTGGGCTGTTTGCGAGTATCGGAGTTTGGTTGCCATTACCGTCGGGATGTGCGTTTGTTGGAGGGGGTCCCTTGAATCCTTTCTACCTATAGTCTCCATTGTAGTTCCTTTTTCTGGTTAACCACATATATACATATATATATATATATATATATATTGAGGACTTTAGAAGGTATCCCCAAAAAGGAACTACAATGGGGACTGAAGGTAGATTAACACAATCCTCTACTATCTTTGGCGCAATCCTCTACAGGCGCTAGGCCCTAAACCCTAAACCCTATAGGCCATAGACGCTCTCGTGGCGGCCTGCGGCACGGCCATTCAGCGGCTCGGGATGTAGCTTCTCCTGGTACCCAGAGAGCCCAATACCCCTTAATGAAGGAATATACCTTAAACGAAAGTAGGATTCCTAATATGATTTAAGGTATATTCCTTGATTAAGGAATGTACCTTTAATCGTATTAGGGTTCCTGTTATGTTTCAAGGTATATTTCTTAATTAAGGGGCTTTGGGGTCTCTGAAAACGGAGGATCGGGTCCAAGGTTCACGCTTTATAAGGTTCAGGGTTTAGGGGTTTAAGATTTAGGATTTAGGGTTAAGGGGTTTAGGGGGTTAGGGTACATTTTTTAGGGGTTTAGGGTTTAGTCTTTGAAGGTGTAACGTTAAAGGCCGAGGTGGTTCTGGGTCAGGGCGTGCAAGGACCTCAATGCAGGTGCTGCACCTGTCCTGGAAGCCATGCAACTGAGAACAGATGAGCGAAGCTTCCAAGATCTAACGGAACTACAGAAACATAAACCCCAATACCCTATTAAAGCCCCTATTCTAAACCCTTAATGTGGGGGCCTTCATAATTAGAACAGGATTTTGGGGTATATTCAAGATAACCATAATAAGGAACCCCCCCCCAAAAATAGTATAGGTAATTATTTAGGCCCCTATCTTACTCCGAAAAATGCCATGGGCTTCCAGTTCGCTTGCTTTCCACTCCTCTGCCACGAGCAAGGCACCGGGAAAGAGAGGGCCCAAGGAGAAGCCGTAGAGGAACGTACACAGCACCACCTGGCGAGACTTCAGTTTAGGGTTTTAGGTTTTAGGGTTTTAGGGTTTAGGGTTTAGGGTTGAGGGTTTAGGCAGCCTAAACCCTAAACCAAACACCCTACCCAAATCCTAAACCAAAGCCCTGACCTCCTTCAAAACACACAGGCGGGGAAGAGGCTTGGAGCAAATGTATTCTCTGACAGAAAGACGCCGTAGTCTGTTCTCTTCTGCAAAAGCTGTCGTGGCGGAGACCGGCTCACCCGAAGGTTCCTGAAGACCATGGTCTGGCTCAGGGATCTGACCTGACTGTTCTGCTTCAGCCTGATCTACCGGGTTGTCTTCCAGCAGAAGATCTTGGATGGCAGCATCCAAGGCATCCGCACTGCCAGCTGAGCCGTCTGTGGGTGCCGCGGGCGGGGCATCCGGCTTTCCCACGTAGGCAATCATGACTTTGGAGAACGACTGGTGGTGTGCCTCGAGACATCCTACCCACTCCATGGCGTGGGTCTGGTTCAGCCAGTTCTTTCTCGAGAGCAGGGGCATTTTGTGAGGAAGCAATGCCCACACACCAAAGGACGCAAGTTTGCCCACAAAGTCATCATCGCTCTGGCAGCAGCCCACTGGCCAGTAATCTGAGGCACAGAGCTGAGCAAGTCCCCGTTCAGCAGGCGGCTCAGCAAGAATCTCCTTTTGCCATGCTGTTTGGCAACACTTGGAGCAACATGCTTGGTCGGCAGCCAAAGATCAAACATCTCCATCCGATGCTGACGGATGCGTCCGTGAGGAGGAGATTGATCACGAATGCGCTCGGTTGACGACCACAAAGAAGGGCAAGCAAATTAATTAAAGCAAATTTTAGGGTTTAGGGTTTAAGGATTTAGGCAAATCACTTCATCACAGCCTTGCCCCAGACACAGTGTTCGGGGTGCAGGGCTCCGGATATGGGCTACACGCATGAAAGTGTGGGATTTAGGGTTTAGGTTTTTTAGGTTTAGGGTTCAGGGTTTAGGATTTAGGGATACTGGAAGCAGCATCCCAAAGTGTGATGCCCTACAGGAGCAAAGCACAATCAACATCTGCATCTCGGTGGCAGGCTGTATCACTCATACAAGTTTTTGTGCATCTATGTGCATCTAACTCCTACCAGAGGCGCAGCTTGCACATGAAGTTCTGAAGAACCATAGGCCACATGTCAAAACGGCTTGAGTTGAAGAGCGATTCGATGTGCGATGAAGCCGCTGCAACACTTACATGCTCATCGATTACCCTGTGGAGCAGATTCAGAAAGCAATTGAGGACCTCATGAAACCCTAAACCCTAAATGGGTAGTTATCGAACTTCGGGTCCCTTTTTGGGTTCCCAAGATACAGTAGGGACCCTAGTTTAAACAAAAACCGTCTAACATTCTGACGGACGCCCAAACACCCAAAGTCTGAACAAGAAAGTCTGGAACCTAAAGCATAGGTAAGCCTTACTCTAAGGGTCCAAGACCTAATAATCATATACTCTCCCAAATATTAACCCAGATAACTACTATCCGCAACCAAAGTACCCTTTGGACCCTTAGGGTTAAACATGTAAATCTCGTGTTGGCCCTGCAGCTGCAAACCGAAGCAACCATACAGCGAAACCCTGAGTAGGACAATTGCAGCAAGACCGAAAAAAGTGTAGTGCCAATTCTCCAGGCTCTTATGCTAACGAAGCCCAGACAACACTGATACGGTTGATGATATAAATCCTGCATTACCCAGAATAAGGAATATACCATAATCCCCATAGTTTAGGGTCCTTAAGGTAATCCAGGATTTCTATCATCAACCCTAAAC